GGGCAGGCGGGAATCGAACTCATGCGGAAGTAGCTTTAGCTTCTCAGTGCAGCGCTTTAACCCGCTGCGCCACCAGGGAGGGCCCTGGTGGCCCTCATCTTTTTAATCCAGTCATCTACTTTCGGGCATTTGGGCTGCTTCCATGTTTTTGCAATTGTAAATAAAGCAGCAGTAAACATGGGGGTGCAGCTAATACCAGTGATTTTAAGTGTTAGGTATATCCTTCAAGAAACTTAAAAGCAGACTTTATTTTTATTTCAAAAGATTAGCTACTGTTTTAGCTGATACAGACGTTTAAATAAAATCCCTGACTGAGAATAGCAGACTGGACTGGCAAAGAGACACATTCATGTTATTACAGGGCAACCCAGCATGAATCGGGTTGCTTGTCTGTGGGCCCTCACCCGTGTGTTTAAGATCCAACTGCTCTGCAGACACACACAAAACGGTCAATGATGGGTTTATTTACAAGGGAAAAAGGAAAGGGAACAACTCGGAAATAGAAAGAGAGAGATACAAGTTAACTAATGCGTCCTACCAGTTCTGCTGATCTGGAACCCCAATAGCATGCTGAAAGCTGATCAAGAGCCAAGAGCCAAGCAACCCGCCCGCAGCCACGAAGCCAAGAGAAAGCGAGCAACCCTCAACCCAACATGTGCGGCTTTATATCCAAACCCCAAAAACGGCTGTTTAACTCCGCCCTCGGGTCCTCTCAATCCTTCCTTTGGTGTTGCTGGGAGTTGTAGTTTCGGTGTCTGGAGTGGGGGTGGAGTGCACAAAACCTCTATCTGGAGAGTTGGTTCAGGACATCCTTTCCCCCTAACAGTGTCAGTAGGAATTATTCTAGAAACAAGTACAGAATATCCGTTCCTTTCTCTGTGTTGTATCAGATAAGTTCTTTGCAATGGAAAGAAATGTTGGTGGGTGAGTAACTTTGGCAGCTGGGAAATTATTCTAGGTAAAAATTGGAGAAAATTAATTCTGACTAGAAAAACAGTGTACTGTCAGTGCTTCTTTTTACATATGTCCCTTCACTCACTTTTGTTAATAATGTCAAAGTGTAATTTTTTAACAGTTGACCATCTAACTCACCTGGTCATCAAATGAGTCCACACTGAGGATTTATTTAGCACCTTAGTAAAGGAACAAGCAAGCTTAAAAGGCCATATCAGAACTGGATACATACAAGGCATGAAGGAGGGTGAAGGAAAAGCTAGAATAAAGCAGCTAAATTAGATGTAAAGCTGGCTAGTGAGTCACAGGATAAGAAAACCATAGCATGTGGGCAGCATAACTTATCTGTTTTCTCTAAGTTAATGTTTACCTTGGTGGTGGCTAAACCCTAATCAATAGTAAACAAAAAGTAAAACCGTATTAACTCCCGGCCTGGCGTGGCAGATGGCCCTTCTTCAGGCTGACTGGATGGCCTATGTTCTAGCATAGCTCCCAGAGGGCAAGCAGTCTTCTTTTTGCTGCATTTCCAAGTTTGGGGTGATTTAATATGTCTGCTTGCTGTTCACCTTTGAACTGTGTTCACTAAGCATTATATCTGAGTGTAGGTGCAAATTTTTGCCTGTGGCCAGTTACTTTGTTAAAGTGTCTAGTTTGTTCACTGCATTAGTCAGTGTGGCGCATCCACTGTGTGTGTGTGTGTGTGTGTGTGTTGCTCTGTGCTATGTGCTCAGGGCCCTGCTGACAAGGAGCTTATGTTCTTGACTAGGGCATAAGTAACTTTGTTCTTATGTAGTAAACTGATTACCCTTAGAGAGGCGTGGATAATTTGGAGTTGCAGAGAAGCAAGAATTTTCTTCCAGCCGGGAGCGAGGGGAAGAAGCACAGGATTTGCGCCTGCCTTCAAGGGCAGGTGACATTGGGCACGTGGAGGGGCAGGAAAGGCGCTGTTTGCGGGCAGCAGGGGCCCTGGGGCTGGCAGCTGAAGATCGCCAGTTGGCTGTGTAGGAACGGAAGGCCCACACGGCAGTAAGTAGGAAAACCAGCCCTGGAGAGATGGGAGCTGGGCAGGTTTACATGTCACATCCGAATTTGAGCTGGATTTGATCTGGGAACACAAAGATCCTGGTGACTTCCACACTTCGTCTGGCACCGGCACTCTTTTCAGGAAAGGGCGTGTCTGGTTGAGAAAGCGACCTGGAGATGCTAGTGAAAGGGATCACAGGCCCATGGGAGACCCCAGGGCCGGGGAGGCGGCCGGGGCTGGTGGACACTGGCCTGGTGGCCTTTTCCACCAGAGCGGGGCGAAGAATTTGCTGGTTCACAGAGCAGGTTCCTAGACTGTATTTCTTCCCCTTCCTCTTCCTGAAGGTGTCCTTGTAAGTGGGGCTAAGCATTCCTCGGGAAAACGGTCCCGAAGCCAGCTGGCGCTGGAAAAACAACAGCAGCAGCTCTCGGAGCACAGAGGCCGCTCTCAATTGTTAGAAATTAGATCAGCGAATTCCCACCGACCGCTGAGGAAGCGCCACATCCTCCTCAGAGCAGGCCTCCTTCCTGGGATTCACGCCTGCTTTCTGTCGAGTGAAAGAGCTTGAAGGTCTCTCCCCTCCCCTTGCCCATTGTTCTCACAGCTTGTTTTGAAAGGGGGGGTTCGCAGATGAAATGGCTTTTTGATCACAAGGCTGAATTTTTTTCAGAGTGGAGCGGGAGGGCGTGAAGACCACGCGGCAGCAGTAGGGCCCCTTCAGGCCGGCTCCGGCTCCGAGAGGAAAGCAGGGGACTCGCTGCTGGGCTTCTGAGAGCAGCGGGCTCGTAGCCGCCGCGTCTTGTCTGCTGCGGGAGGTGCACACAGGGAAAGTTCCCTCGGCTGAGCGCAGCTGCCTGGGAGGGAGGCAAGGGGCCAGAAGCCGTGCAGGTGACCCAGGCGCCGGCTGGCGGCAGAGCGTGGCACTCCCGCGTCAGCACAAACCTCCTGCCTGCGTGGCATCTCATCTTCCTCCTGGCGTCTTTAACTGGCTAGGCACGTGCTCAGACTCACGGCTGGGTAGCGACTTCTCCTCCCCTGCTGAGAATCGAGTTCTTGGGCAGGGAACACGGTCTCCATCCTGGGCACTGCAGGTGGCACTGGGCAAGGGTAACATGCTCAGCGCCCTCCCACCCTGCCCGGCCGCCGAGGGCCTCCCCGCCAGCTCCCGGTCATCTCGCCTTCTTCTCAGACACGCTTTCAACATTCCTTTGCCTCTGTTTCTCATGTTCCTTAGAACATTGTGAAAGGCGTAGTGGAAAGTGTGCTCTCTTACTGGCAGTTTTTCTGTGGGTTTTGCCAGTGCTGGGTGACACAGGCAATGACACTTGTGGCTAAGTTAAGTGCCCTCTCATTCCACTCAGATGGTGGGTCTGTGGGCTGAGAGAGAAACGATGGTGTGTTGTGGTGATGCGGCCTGAGGATTGTCAAAACTGATTTAGCACAATTGGCGGGGTCTCTAGGAGACTTGCGGTCGTTCGCCAAGCCCTACGGGCATTTGATTGTAAGCACTGAGCCAAGAAACAATCGCTGAGTTAAAAAGAGACAAACCGTTTGGTTTATATTCACTCATCATGCGGTTTTTTTGTTAGAACGCTCCGCTTATGGGA